CACCGAATCAGAATCCGCCTGCTCGCTCTGCGAGTCACCGAATCAGAATCCGCCTGCTCGCTCTGCGAGTCACCGAATCAGAATCCGCCTGCTCGCTCTGCGAGTCACCGAATCAGAATCCGCCTGCTCGCTCTGCGAGTCACCGAATCAGAATCCGCCTGCTCGCTCTGCGAGTCACCGAATCAGAATCCGCCTGCTCGCTCTGCGAGTCACCGAATCAGAATCCGCCTGCTCGCTCTGCGAGTCACCGAATCAGAATCCGCCTGCTCGCTCTGCGAGTCACCGAATCAGAATCCGCCTGCTCGCTCTGCGAGTCACCGAATCAGAATCCGCCTGCTCGCTCTGCGAGTCACCGAATCAGAATCCGCCTGCTCGCTCTGCGAGTCACCGAATCAGAATCCGCCTGCTCGCTCTGCGAGTCACCGAATCAGAATCCGCCTGCTCGCTCTGCGAGTCACCGAATCAGAATCCGCCTGCTCGCTCTGCGAGTCACCGAATCAGAATCCGCCTGCTCGCTCTGCGAGTCACCGAATCAGAATCCGCCTGCTCGCTCTGCGAGTCACCGAATCAGAATCCGCCTGCTCGCTCTGCGAGTCACCGAATCAGAATCCGCCTGCTCGCTCTGCGAGTCACCGAATCAGAATCCGCCTGCTCGCTCTGCGAGTCACCGAATCAGAATCCGCCTGCTCGCTCTGCGAGTCACCGAATCAGAATCCGCCTGCTCGCTCTGCGAGTCACCGAATCAGAATCCGCCTGCTCGCTCTGCGAGTCACCAAATCAGGATTCGCCTGCTCACTCTGCGAGTCACCGAATCAAGAATTCACCTGCTCGCACTGGTCCCCCCCCCCTTTTTGTTGCGAGGCACTGGACTCGAGGTCCACCTGGCTCGCAGGGGGTTCCGGCACCTGCCCCAGCCCGGCAGAACACCACGTCCTGGCGCCTGGAGACAGCCTGGCGGAATGGGGTACTATGGCCTGGGGTTAGCCTCAGAGGTCAGTACTATGCCCACAAATAACAGAGAGAGACAACAAAGCTTCCCCACAGTTCCGTGTGCCGAGAGAGAGTAATGGCACCACACCAGCATTTAGCGTCTGAACACAGAAGGTCCAGTGCATGGCTGCCTCACTAGAGACACCGGTGTGCCCTTTTGGAACTGTGACACATAAGACAGGTCTAATAGACAAAGACAGACACAGACAGACAAAAATGTTAGCCGCTTCACAAAATTGAATTCCGTAGCTCCCCTTACCCCGATGGCCGGCCGTCACTCCAAATCCCAAGCCCTCAACAGGAGATTTCATAACAGGTATCTCCTTACCTTTTATTGAGCGCTCTGAGAGGTTTGGAAGTGGAGTGCCGGTCCGTCCATATGGGCAAGTGGCGCGTTAGGAATCTCGGTGGAACCTCCAAATTGTCGAAGCAAAAACACGCTCCTTTTGAGCGCTCTGAGAGGTTTGGAAGTGGAGTGCCGGTCCGTCCATATGGGCAAGTGGCGCGTTAGGAATCTCGGTGGAACCTCCAAATTGTCGAAGCAAACGCCTCACTCAGTTTACGCGGCTAAACAGACATTTTCATTGGCCAATAAAAGCAAAGTGAGCCAAACGTGGTCTCAGCAAAGCTGGGTCCAGTAAGGCTACCTAATACAATCAATTCTAGTATCTTTATACCCTTAACCAAACAGTCTGACGTCAGGGTATCCAATTACAGAAATAATCAATTAAACTAAGAAAAACAAAGCCTTATCAACAAGATGGCGGACAGGTATGACGGAGTACCTCTCCTCTCTGAACCAGCCCAATTAACACATTCCAATAGCACATCTGTCTTGGCCTGGCGCATGGGGTGATAGAAAGTTCACTCTGGCCTTGCAAAGACAAAAAGCTGAAAGCAGAAGAACACCCAGGGCCTACATGTGCCTTCAAAGTAGGAATAAGATCCTCCGGAAAAGGGCACTTTTTCCGGAGGATCGGGGCCAGTGTAGACGCTCTTTTCCGGCTTTTCTAAAAGCCGGAAAAAAGCGGCGGACATTTTTATTTAAATGCCGCGGGGGATATTTAAATCCCCCGCGGATTTCCCTATTACGATAGCTGAAATTAACATGCCCCTTCCGGAAAAGGGGCCAGTGTAGACGTAGCCTTCGAAGGTGGCTGGGGCCTGTGTGATCTGCATCACATCCTCAGAATTCCCCCCTGTAGGGATGGACCTTTGGGGGCAGGCCCAGACTCCCCGGCCTCTCACTCAGCTTCTATCACACTCTAGGGTGGCTTGCATGTAGAATAGTGATAGAAATGTAGCCGTGTTAGTCTGGGGTGTAGCAGCCCCCAGGGGTAGGGCTGAGTCTTGGGGTACTGCACAAATGGCAGGGGTTGCAGGAGATAAGGCTATGTCTACATTGGCATGACCTTGCGCAAATACTCTTTAACGCAAGACTTCTTGCATTAAAGTATTTACGCAAGAGAGCGTCTACACTGGCATGTGCCTTTGCGCAAGAGATGTGCTTTTGCGCAAGAGCATCTGTGCCGGTGTAGATGCTCTCTTGGCCATTTTAGCCATTCGGCTTTCTTGCGCAAGAAATTCATGTTGCCTGTTTACACTGGCCTCTTGCACAAGAACAGTTGCGCAAAAGGGCTTATTCCTGAGCAGGAGCATCATAGTCCTTGCACAAGAAGCCTTGATTTCACACATTAGAACATCAGTGTTCTTGCGCAAGAACTCCCCGCCAGTGTAGACAGGCAGCATGTTTTTGCTCAAAAGTGGCCGCTTTGGCGCAAGATCGCAACAATGTAGACACAGCCTAAGAGTTTGTCGGAGACCTCAGGGACCCAGCGTGAGGCATCATCCCAGGCATTTCTCTGAGAGGAGCAAAACGGGATTGACTGAGTATGGGGAGAGTGTCTCAGTGGTTGTGCAGCTTGTGACCCTGGTTAGGGATGTGGTCAAAACACAGGACTCGCTGTGAGCAGGTCTTAAACCCTGCCCAGGTTTAAACCCTGCTCACAGCCAGGCCTGTGTTTTGGCCACAGCTCGTGGGTACTTGGCTCTGTGGCCCAAATTGCAGGAGTTTGAGGTTCCCCATTGTTTGCTCATGGCCAAGGCACCTGTCAGGCCCAGAGGTGGTGAGTGATGCAGCTGGGCTGAATGTGGCTGCTCCTCCCTCATTCTGGTCAGTCTCTTGAGGAAGCAAAGAAGCTGCCTGGACCTGGACCTGGACCTGGAAATGCCTGCAAATGACACTGGCTGTTTCTTCTGACAGATGCCATGTGGAGGAACGTGAGAAATCTGGAGACGAAGTAAAGGAGATGTAATTGCAGCTACAATGCAGAGCACTGAGCTCTGTGCCCCACAGCTGGACACAGAGACCCCCCATGGCTTTGCTGCAGGGAGTTTCCTTCTTGAGAGTTGCCCTTGTGGCCTTTTTGCAGAGTTCTCCTTTCCCACGACTAACTGACCTTGAAGACGGACTTCTCTGTGGAGAAGGTAAGAGTCTTCAAGAAGGCTAATATGACTACAGTGGGGGAATTAGCTCAAGTGGTAGAGCACTTCCTTTACATGCAAGAGGTAGTGGGATTAATGCCCATGTTCTCCAGTGATGGGGAAAATCCCCTTTTTTCTTTTTACTGGCAGAGCCAGCCAGAGGACTAAGTGGCTCCAGTAGCCACCCTCCCCCCCCACTCCCGCTTCCTACTTGTTCTCCCCAAAAGCCAGCCATGCTGGGGCAGAGAGCTGCTGGACACCAGCCCTCATGGGCCAAGCAGTGGCAGGAATCCTGGAGACAAGTTGCTGGTGGGGCAGAATTAGCTCCACTGGAAAAATGCTGCCTTTGCGCATGAGACGTAGCAGGATTCACTCTCATCTTCTCCCTCCTGCTCTGTGGTGCTGAGGGGCCAGTCACTTTCCTGCTGCCCCAACTCTTATTCCCACAATGCACTTTGTGCAGGGGCTGTTGGTCTTTGTGCCAAGGCACGTGGCTAGAAGCCAGGACTCAGGACCCTTCCCAAAATATACAAATCCTGCCCCCCGCCACCAACACTCTGTTCCACTCACACTGTCTGGCTGCCGCCCACATGGGCTGAGCTCAGGGGCCAGGTGAGTGATCTGCCTTGCACATGAAACAGCATCAGACCCCTCCCACCTGTCTGCTCAGTGTGGAGACCAAGCTTCAGTGGGCCTCAGACACCCAGCAGGAGGAACAAAATTGCCTGGATTTATACTGCTTGAGGTTCTTTACATTAATAAGAACCCTTAATGCAGAGCTACTCAACTTTGGAAGTGCCAGGGGCCACAATGATACCCACAGCACATGCCGAGGGCCGCAACTTAAGTGTGGTTGCATGTATCTGCAAATATATGCAAACAGCTTTTTCGCACTGACAGGCATGAATACAAAGATTAAGGCAACACTACACAACTTCCAGGCCCTATGTAAGTCAGTTTTGCTGATGTTAATAAAATGCAATATTTTCCTGATTTCCACCCATATGACAGCACTTTTAATGAGCAATGGCAGTCCAGGAATTTAACTACTAAAACACATCTTAGCAGAAGACCATTATATTGACTATTTTTGTTTTGGCTTGTGGCGAGGTAGCCCCGCCCCTCTTGGAGACTGCCGGAACGCCGCGAGCACGGGGGGGGAAGCTCACCCCCCGCCGCGGCTCGGCGAGGCGCCCGCTTACACCGA